AAAAATATCGGAATTAATTAAGTAGGTAGGTAATGATGGTATTGCAACATGAAATCGCTAAATAGACAATATTGATATTATATTAATATGATTATATTTCATTATTTTAATAATATTATAGATTAAGAATCTCAATTATGTACAGTATACTTAGCATTTAATTACCTAATCAACAATCAATAACTGTCACTAAAATTTCAATAGTTCTTTCGTTTAATTTTTTCACCATTTAAATTTTCAGTATTCAGTTTGTTGTGTGTACCATACAAATTGCAATAATGGAAGGAGTATTTCCAAGAGTACCTACTCATTAAATAATTTAGTAACCTGCACAAAGTGTAAGGTTATTAACAACTACAATTTACCATGGACAAAATAAGTAACAAATTCTCATTTATCCCTTTAATATTTGCAATATGTTGCCTTATACGCCCAACATGACAGAATATTACAAACGGCAAAAATAATTTATGACATTTAAATAGGATTGAACCGAAAGTAAGTCGTTCTAAGTTTTAACTTTCGTGAGAGCCCCATTGCTGTAATCCGTTAATTTTTGTCGACTGAGTGACATTTAGTTTTAACTTAAAATGTAATAAGAAATATTATTTAAGAAAACACAGATTATAACATATTATTAAGGAAAAACACAAAATTTTCACTTCACTTTTTCGAATGAGTATCTCCTTGTCTACTGTAAATTGTATCGTGAATACATTTTCTGAAAATCTTGACGTCTCAGAATCGAGATTAGGTAAAGAGCAGTGTTTAGTTATTTAATATATGTGTTCCAAGGGTCCATAATAATGGGTTTGTAAGAGAGCTTTAAAAATTTTAGTGATTAATCAACATTAATAATTTGTAAAAATTACAAAATTACATAATATAATAAAATAGTACTAGAATACTAGATTCAATATTACATAATATTATATTTTATTTTTTTGAAAAACCATTTTTAATTACTATTATCCTTATTCTAAACATTTTAATAACTGAGAAACTACGCGTTTGGATTTTGAATTAGGTTAGTACATGAACATTTTTAAAACAATTATCCACTAATAATTTACCGTAAAAAAGGGGATTTTTCATAATCATAAAAAATATAAGTTTGTATCGACACCTTAAGAAGTACAACACATTTAAAATTTGAAAAAAATTGTCTTTGAGTCAATATATGTAATAATTCCAAAAAATCAGAATTTTAATAAATTCATTAAGGGGCCTGCACGCGACCTGTTTTTTTGCTCAAAAACATGCCTTACAGGAAAAACTCTCACGCCTCGTAGATTGGTCCGATTTCCGTAATTTTTTTTTTTGTTAGATAGAGGAAGACTTCTTACAGGGCGCATTGGACTTGGATTTTCAAAATTATTTTCCTAAGTCTTATGTTACAAGTTTGAATTTAATCAATTTTTACAACTTTTTAGTTTTTGTATTATTTTTTGTTTTTAGCGACGTAATCAAAAATCGAAGTCCAATGCGCCCTGTAAAAAATATTCCTCTATCTAACAAAAAAAAAATTACCGAAATCGGACCAATCTACGAGGTGTGAGAGTTTTTCCTGTAAACTGTGTTTTGACCGATATAATACACCCTATCAACCCCCCCTAAATAGGTATTGGGTAGTAGATTAGTGGAAAAGTCTTATAATTGAGGTGGCAACTAAAATATAAAATTTAATTTTCAAATTTTATAGAATTGCGGAAAATTTGAAAAATCGCGACCAGGCCCCTTAAAAAAAAAAATTGTGGGGGTTTGGGGTTGAGCATATTTTGTGAATCAACCTGTATTTGTATGTAACGTACATTTGAAAGTTTAGAAAAATAGGTTGATTTTACAAATTTAAAGTAACAAAACAATCTGACTGACGACAGTATATTATTAATTTACACAAATTTAATATTGTGTTTGTAAATTATCGCCGAACGACATGAATCGACGAACGATAGTGGTCGTCGTCTATCAATAACAATATATTATTTTCGTCTACTTGCAACGATTTATATTTATTTAGTAAAAACTGTCTGTTCTACGTATAGAATAATTTAATATATTATAGAATCTATAATTATAATTAAGTTAAGTATAAGACATCATTGGCCCCCACTTGAACCTGCTTAGTGAAACATTATTTTTTTGAAAAAAGAAATAATAATGAAAAAAAAATATTTGAGGCAAATACAAAAATTAATAGAAAAAAAAAATTAAAAAAAATCAATTATCAGACGCTATAATAATGTTTAATGTCATACATAACTCTGATCAATTTAATTGGAATTGTAGCCATTTATGACTGAAAATATTTATGTTTGTATTAAAAATAAATAATAATTAAAAAAATTTGTAAAACATTGATGAAATTTGGATTGTTGAGCGGCGATGGGGGGGGGGGGGGGGGTACGGACCCATCATATATGGCCTTGCTTATGAAATATGGTATGTTACCTAAATAATGATAGCGCATTGACTATTTTACAAAATGGGATTTAGAATGTCAGATATATGAATATCATGAAATCATGAAATAAAAAATACCTGAGAGTAATAAAATCATAATCAAAAAAAGATTGCTTGTTCAACAGAACATTTTTTAATCAAAAATTGAGAATTAGGGAACGTTTCCATTTTAATATAAAATAGTTTACCAATCAAATAAAAAAAAAAAATATTGATAACTTTTTTAATTTAACGTCATTGAAAAATTAATGTTTTTGAAAATACCCTGAATACATTAACTAGCAGGTTAATACATTTTATAATAACTACATTATTTCTTATGTCTAATATATATATATAAAACTTATTACTTTACTAGTATATAAAATAAACCCTAATATAGCCAATAGCAATATAAAATCTTGTCATGGTCTCCACAAAACTGAAGTACTGAACAACGTAGGTATATATTAAAAGTTGTGACCAAAATACCAAATACTAATAACTAATAAGTATTAATACCTATAATTAATAGTTAATACCTATGTAGTATTATTTGCCAACCAATTTTCCAAGCAGTATTCTTATAATTTGGTAATGAATATCGTAATTTTATTCGTGGCTATATTTACCAGTTTTCCGGAAATCGCAAAATCATAATTTATATTTTATTTTATTTCACTACAGCTCAACGCCCCTATTTCAGTTTTATATTTTAGTTAACTTATATCCGTCGTCTTGGCAAGTGGTCAATAAATATATACATAATTAATTTCCCATTATCTTAGTTCTTGAAGTTTCTTAAAAAATTTAACTACTGTACAATAATAAACCGAGTTTGGTCTAAAATAAATGTTGCATATTTGTGTTAGGAATTTATATTTTATTATAAATAACATAATACATTTTTTTTAAATTTTTTTTCAGACAATTTTTCAAAAGTTGTGTTTTTTCTATATTACTGAACCCCGAATAAGAAAAACCCGAACGTTTGTTTAAAATTTTTATTTCTGTATTTGAACACCCGAATATATCCAGCACAAAAAACCCGAAACCCGAATAAAATATGATTCGGGTGCAAAACCCTGATTTTCAAACAAATATACAATAATATGGGCACATTTTAAAAAGAAAACAATTTTTTCATAAACTTTTCACAGAATATTATAAACTAAATTATGAATACGATTCTGAATTTGAATTAAATATCAATATAATATTAACTAAATCAAACTAAACTAGAATCCCTAAATACCCTTCTAGGAATAAGTTTTTTTTATATGAATATATAATATATTATAATATTAAGTAGAGTCTAGGGATATAATATAGGTACCTACTAAAGAATTTTTTACTTACCTTTCTAGTCTCTTTTCATACATCTGTCGTAATTCCTTGTGAAGTTTGATATATACTGCTTCCAGTTTTTTCCTATCGCTTTCAGCTTCAATTTCCTTGTCTCTTTTTTTCATTCGACTTATTCGGGCCGCCTCGTTATTTTTCTGACGCTTTGTATAATAATTAGGGTCACGCCCGGCAGAATTCATTATGATTTAAGAAGCTGCAAAACAAAATTAATTTGATTAGTATGAAATTGTGTGTTTATTTAAGAAAAACAAAATTGCACGTTTTTTCACCAATCTAATATATACTCACAGAAAGGTCCGTCCTCGTTAAAATGAAATTTTAGAATAAATGAACGAGTGTATTTCACAGCGTTCAACGCAGTAGTATTTCTCTAATGTACTTAAACTGAATAGGTTTCCTGTTTCATTCTTCTGGCTCGATAACGGAAACATAATAATATACACGGCTATAATATAATTTTCTGTTAATTACCTATAAGATAGGCATTTAACAATGATGTTTCAGAAACTTCTTTAAAAACTATTAATGTCTCTATATTTGCAATTGGCAGGGGTGGAGTGGAGGGTAGAGTGCACGCGGGTACACACCTTCTATTTATGCATGTACCTATCCTAAACGAAAATCGTGGTATGCAGTTAGGATCAGCCCCCCCTCCCAAGTTATTTTGTACAATGATTAAGGCGTGTATCTATACATTTTTTTAGGACTACATCACTGGCAATTGGTAAGTGTATACCTAAATATTTTAAATATAGCACCTGGGTACCCATATTGGCAATATATATGACTATATGACAATATGCCAAGTTGCTAATCATTGTTTGGAAGAATTATAAATTAATTTATGTAAAATGATCTACCGGTACCCCCATCTATGTTGTTGTTTACATGAAAGTAGGTACACTTAAAGCGGTACTATGGACTATGGTATAATAGTCATGGTCTCAAGGATATTCTAATTGTGGTGGGGATTGTGGGTGGGGATTAGTTCTGTTGGTAGTGGTGATGGTAAACAGTGCAATCCTAAGGTGCTAAAGTTGTCAATGTTTCTCCGAGTGCCAAATTAAAGATCGATTTATATTTTTTTGGTATCAATTTTAGATAATATAATCTGTTTAAGAAATATATATTTATTATTATACCTTTTCTAAGTGTTTCATGACGGGCGATTGTAAGCTCTCCAAATTTTAATGACATGTAACTCTCCGTCTCTCCAGGTAGTAAATTCTCCGGGGTCTACTTCAGTACTATCTGATGGGAGTATGTAAAGTCTAATCTCGTCAATTTTAGTAATACTAAATTTAATTTTAAAAAGTAAATTATATATAATAAAAATCAATGTCTTTATAATTTCCGTGGGCTATAATTATAGTAAAAATACAAATAAAATAAAAATCATAAAATAAATCAAATATACATTTAAATATTATTTAAAAAAGTGGATAAGTGGATTTCTTTCTGCTGTGTGAATTTGTGTGATAAAATTGCTGTTATATTGTGATACAAATTTTAATTAATCTATTCAATTTTTTATGAAGGTTTATTATAAATGTATTGTATAAGTTTATAAATTATAATTATTTTGGTATGTAAACATAGGTACAATTTAATTTATTGTGTGTTGAATGGACATTTCATAACATTACCATGTTCCATTTAGTTGCAGAAAACCTTACTTAAAAAATTCATTAAGTAGAATACTAGAATCCATAGAGTATTGAAAATGTGTATACTATTCTTGGATTTTGAAACAAAAATTACTTTTATGGGCTGAATTATTCAGAAACCGACACGTCCCAGTTTGATCCCGAACACTGGGACTAGGGGTAAATCACAGGTAGGTAGTAAACCAGTTGAGTCACGGATTATTTTAGGGAAGTAATACAAATATAAAATACAAAAAAATATCACTTTTGTGTAATTATTAATAATTCATTCAATTGTTCCTTCAATATTATTCATATATAATCTAAATATTTCATTTCGTGTCACGTATAAATATAATATGTAGAATTGATTATATTTTGTAAAATTAATGTCTTATACACTATACAGTTAGGTACCTATACATTTGTACCAACACAAAAGAGACATTTTTAAATCGTATTTTATATTGTAAAATTTGTATTTTTAATTTTTGGTTTTTAACATTTTTAATATGTTATTGATTGTATTGTATAATATTAATATTGTATTACATTTCATATTATATTTTGTAAAATCCTAATAATTCATATTTTTATTGGGAAAAAAATCATACATGTGTTCAAAAATTGATCTTAGTCAGTCCTAAGTCTGTTTATTTGGGAAGGAAAACGTTAGTTTATTGTACCAAGTACTTACCGAAAAAATCTGAGACCCAACTATAGTATAGACATTTTATTTTTGGGACCCATCTCAGATGCAGCCTCAGAAACTAACGACTTTTTTTTGTCTGTCGACATCTGTTCTTATAATTTTTCACCGAGATTATTACTTACGTTTACTCAGGAGGGGGGAGGGCTACCGTTTGCAAGAGTTTGATGGGCGGTCCTCACCTTACTTGAAAAACATTGCAGTCACTGCGGTTTTACTGATTTCCTTCCCTGTATTTCTCCAGTTGGCGAAACGCGACGTCAAGACGACGTGCTGGTGGTCCGCAGCGGCCGAGTGTTGACGCTGTCGGAATGGCATAGCGTAAGAGTGGGGCGGTATCGCCGTAAGCTGTACCTGTGGGTCGACGGGATGGTCAACTACGCCGTCCTGCAGCCGTCTGAGGGAATTTCGAACTTTGATAATCTCATATACTTCGGTATGTATTGAACCCGTGAATATACAGGGCCGTTCTTAGGATTTGTGTGGCCTGGTTGGAAAATTATTGCAAAGACTATAACATACAGTTGTATTTATAAGTGTATTTTTAAAACATCCACTTAGTTTTGATTTTCTTATCAATTGATTAAAATCAACAAACTTCAGAAGGATTGCCCAAATTACGTAAAAGCAGAAAAAATAATATAGTCATTGAATCACACTGAAAAAGTAAAGCTCTACAGTGGCGGCTATTTTCTATTTACTATGTGTATCCAACTTAATAAAATTATTTTAATACCTACACACCTGGACCTGATACCCAAACACTAATTCGGGGAGAAATAGCTTGTTAATTTATTTAAATCGGTAGGTAGGTTCACAAAATGTAATATATTTTTAATGTGGCTTAGAAATAAAATTAACTTAACTTGATAATAAAGTAAATTATCCCATAAGTTACTGAATAACTAGGCCCTCCGTTATCGGTGCCTCCTCGACCCTTCAAGAACGGCCCTGCCCACAACACATGGTCGATGAGCCATACCGTCACTCAGTTTGATCAGACGTCGTCGTTGACACGCATAAATTATATTATACTTATAGGTCCCTCAAAACGCACATGTAATAATCGCTTTCCACGTCGGTTTAGGAGGTTTACCAGATCTGTCCCGCATGCCACTCGGCTCCACGGCTGGACTTCCGGTTCCGTTTTCCGGATGCATACGCAGACTGTCGATCGACTACGAGACGATAACACTCAACTATTCGTCGATCACCGCTGGCAGGAACATTGCTGATTGCGACGGGACACCGTGCGGCGGTGACTTGTGCCATCATGGCGGAAGCTGTTGGTTGGACATGGACATGAAACCACACTGCCATTGCCTTCAGGTGCGTTCTCGTTTTTATTTTTCCGTCATATTATACCTACTCGTTCTCGATTTTGTCATAAATGTAATTGTTTAAATATCTGTTTGATCACCAAGGAGTTCACCGGAGACTCGTGTAACAAGCAAGCGCCTTGCACTGAATTCAAGTGCCAGAATAAAGGCCACTGTGTAAGTGAAAGCGGCAATACGACGTTCGTGTGCAAATGCCCTCCAGGCTGGGACGGTCCGTTCTGTACAAAAGGTATGTTCCGAAACGATATTGCAACACATTTTCTTACTATAACGTTACTATAACGTCTAGGAACGTTTTAAAGTGCCTATAAGTTACCTACTACCAATACTAGCGAGTAATACAAAATAAAATACATTTATAGTTTAATTTGGGTGGTTCAATGCTCAACAATAATTTTTTTTTTTATTTGGTCTATATAATATGGTTCAGGGGGCTGCAACATAGCATATTTTAAGGAGTACTATTTAGGCAATTGATGTGACATATAAATTAATACTGTATCTATGTGTGAGTAGTAAATGAACATTAGTGTGCGTAATCTGTTATCGTTTCCGAGAATCGCTGCACGTCGAGTCGGGTAACCGTGCCGGAAGCAACTCTCACACGCGCACGCATAATATGTATGTTAATACATAGCGAAAAATGAAATATATTCTTGTTTGCAAGACTATACAACTACTAAAAGCGGTAGTATTTTATTCATACTTCCCGAAGTTCGATTGTAATTTCGAAAAAATGGTTGAATTTATAAACTTCTAAACAATGCTTCTTAGGAATCACTTTTTTTTATTTAAAATCAGATGTGCCCAAAATAAATACAAATGTAATGCAATTATTTCATGGGATTTCTAAAAAAAAATGGTTAGTTTAAAGTCATTTTAAATTGAAAATCGACTTCCTAAGAAGCCTAGATCAATGAATTCAAACATGTATAAAAAATTTAAATCGGACATTCCTGAGTATGTGTAATTTACCCCCGCTTATTGGTTTAAAACTCATCAAAAATACGTGCCCTGCAGCCCCCTTAAGATGTATTAAATTTTATTTTTAACTTGAAAAATGTTAAAAATTATTTTTCATAACTAGTTTTTTTTGGAATTAATTATTAATTGTAGGCACTTAACAATTTTTTTTAAAAACATTTGAAGTTCACATTTTGACAAAAATGGATATTTAAATTATAAATACTCGCTAGAGCACCTTTTAGAGTTAGACTCCGTATCTAACTGCTAGAGTATTAGACTAACTCAGTCAGTAAATTTAAGTTTTTATACATAATTCAAGATTCTGTACTTACCCACAAAATAAAATCAAAATATAAATATAATAATCAAATACCAAAAACAAAAATAATTATACAAAATATAATAAATTAAGTTCTTTAAAAAAGAATGTATGGATTTGTTTATAATTTTGTTTCTCAATAATTTTTATATAAATGTATAAATGTATAAATGTTCATATTATGTACTGTTTATATGTAATGTTTATTAGTACTCTATCTTCATCGATAAGAGGTTATCCTCAGTGGTGAGATAGACCATTCAATGAATTTAAATTTTATTCTCCTTATATTATTTGTAATATTTTTTTGGCAAATAAATAAATGTATTATTATTAAAAAAAAAATTATCTTAATCATATGGATTATTGATATAAAATGTTATTGTATCTAAAATAAAACAATTTAGATAAATGACAGCACAATGTTTGAATAAAATCTGTATTTAAATAATTGAAAATATGTTTAATTACCTAACCAATTTATAGGTTTACATATTTAAATTTAGAGGTCATTAAGTATTTGATAAAACTATTTGCTTAAACATTCGAAAAGTTTTGAGAATAAAGTTACAAATAGATAACACTATTTAAAAGTAAAGTGGAGCCTCTATTAGTCGAAATTCAAGGAAAATTAAATTTTTTCGACTTACTAAGGTTATGTTATCTTGGGTTGGATTCAGCAAAGGAAGGAAATTTATTTCAACTTATTAAAGTTTTCGACTTATCAAGGTTTCACTGTATTTAAATACTTCAATAGTATTTCAAGTACCTTAAAGTGATACAATTTATTGTTTATGTAGTAATAATTAACTAAATATAAAAAAAATATTGTGATTCTTTTTTAGAGCTTCCAACTGGTCCACCACTATTCAAAGGACATGGGTATTTAGTTCTTAGCAAACTGTCTTCCCTTACTAAAAGAGAAGGTAATGACGAAGTGACTGTGGATAACGAAACACAATTCATAAGTTTAAACTTTTCAACGGTATATGACAACGGATTGCTAATTTGGACATCACAGGTACCCACTATATTATCTTTACCTAAAATCTACAAAATATAGGTACTGTTTAGTAACTAATATTGTATTAAATGTATATTTTTAATATTTAAAGGAAGAGTGGTACATGGGTTTAGGAATAACTAATGGATCATTGACAGTGACATGGGCACAGAATTATAAAAGAGCCAATAAACTGACAGCACCGAAATCTAACATAACCAATAGTGAATGGCATACGGTGAGGTTGAATGTCACAAAATCAGATATAACATTAGAATTAGATGATTGGATATCAGATCCATATCACCACAATATAGATTCGTTCAATTTGAATGATAACATAATTTATCTAGGTAATAAGAAAATCTAAAAATATTGTTGCATGTTTTCTTACAAAATATATTTTTACAGGAGGAGTTCCAGAAGAGAAATTCTTCTTAAATGATAGACAAGAGTTATTTAAAAGCAATTTTCGAGGATGCATCGAACAACTGACTGTTCAAGAAAATGTTATAACTGATTTCAAACACTATGAGAGCGTAAATGTAGATGTGTGTGATACATGGTGAAATAATGTCAGTTACATAAATGTGAGCAAAATAATCAATTCTAAAGAATTCAATTTCAATCAGTCAATCAATATACTTATGTTTATTATTAATATTATGATTTTTCTATATTGTCAATTTTTAAATGATATCTTTTCATATCTTCAGTAGTGATTTCGGTCGGGGCTCCAGACAACAGGTCTTTTCCTTCAAAAGTCTTAGGAAAAGCAATAACATCACGAATGCTATTTGTGTTACACAAAATTGATAGTAATCTATCAACGCCTAAAAAACATGAAAATATTTTCAGAATATTCAATTTATTGACCAATTAATAGTGGTTAATTTGGAATAGTTTTTACCTAAAGCTATTCCACCATGTGGAGGACAACCAGACTTCAATGCTTCGACTAGATGAGACATAGTCTCGATAGGTATATTTAAAATGGATCCAATAACTTTTGTTTGCAGATCGGCATCGTGTATACGAATTGAACCTCCTCCTACCTCACTGCCATTCAATACCAAATCGTAATGAAATCCTTTAACCTATGAAAACAATTTGAAATAATATTGCTATAAAAATGTATGTTTAAAAAATTTAATTTACCTCTAATAAGTTATCAGAAGTAATTTCTGTTTGTGGTTGTGTGAATGGGTGATGAACCGATTGAATTTGATTAGAATCCATTTCAAATAAAGGAAAATTGACTATCCAAACAAAACGCCAACGGACATCACTTGAATTATCTACTTTGAAATGTTCGTTAATTTTACCCAGTACTGATAGCTGTAATTTTTAGATTAATTATAAAAATATGTTGAAAATTCAACCCAGTAGTTTAAAATTAATAACTTACAGCTTTATATTTTGAACCACTAGCAATCCCTACTAAATCATGTTCAGATATATTATCAGCAGCCAACACAGCTGCTACGTCAATCCCATTAATTATTTTTTTAAGATTTTCTTTGAAAGTCTCGATTGATCTGATATTTAAAAGACTGAATTTAACATCTGGGTAATTAGTGGATATTAATGTTTTTAAATCATTTATTTGTTTCTTTGTCAGTTTGTCTTCAGCATTTTTTAAAACAAGTGCAAAAACTTCATTTGATGCATTTGGTATGTACTTTGTCCAGTTTGAAATCTGTAAATTATAATTGAATGCACATTTAATTTATGAGCATATAAATTTATGTACAATAGTTACAATTGTAACCATAAATTATTATTTGTATTTTTTGTTTTATAAGGATAAAATATGTTTCAAAAAATGTAATGAAACAAAACTTTTGGGTCATTGTATGCATCAATCAACATTATGAGTGACTGCTAACAATGTAATGCAATATTTATTGGTTTATTTGCATGCAAATTAAGAGTTAAACTTAGTATTGGAATATTTGCCAATAGATAACAGTGTTGGCAACAATAACAATAACAGACACAATTTATTTTAGTGATTTCTTGATTAATACATTAATGCATGTACTCAATAAGTATTGATTAGATATTTATTAAAATCAAAATATAATTGGGCAATAGTATTATAGGTTACACTCAATGGCAATATGAGGTTTAACCAGCGGCATATTTAGGGGGGACGGGGCTAAAAATTCTGAGTCCTCAGAGGGCGCCGTCTTTAAAGGTTATAACAACAAAAAAATTTATTTTTTTATTTTCTTGGATTTGTTGAGAAATTATATTATTGATAACCCGTATCTTTCTTATAATATCTTTTACAGTTCTATACATATTTATATATATTATGTATTTCATTATATTGTCATAAAAAAAGGCTAAAATCTAAAATTGTAATTTGTTTTGTTTGATTATAAAGGTTGAATTTTTATTAGGAATAAATGGAGTGGTAATGGTAAAATAAAAGTGTTCTCTAAATTAGTGAAAGCATAAATGCAATAAGAGGAAAATATACATTTTTGGTTATCACTTTTACAGGGCTTGAAACAAATTTATACATTTTATCTTTGCGCCTCCCAGTGTTAATGTTATTACTTATTATATTCAATGCTATTTTTAGGTAATAATAGTTTAGTTGGTTCAGTGCGGTTTTTGGTGTATTATAGTGAGTATTTTTTAGTATATTTTATACTGAAGAATCCATAATTTAAACCATAGTTATATATATACATATATAAAGCTATTATAATAAGTCTGTTTGTTTATCCTTTATGCATTCCTACTCTATTCACCCGATTGCCATAAAACTGTTGTGGCTTTAGGCACCCCAAGAAGAAAGGTTTCTATTACAAACAAAATCGGTCAAAAAAATCTTATACATCATACATGTGTATGATAAGATTTGTAATGTAACAGAAACCATTACAACAATACTGTTAACAAACTTTAAATTAAAACAATGTAATATGCCTTGCACACAAAAAGTATCGATTGTTCGACGCCGCAAGTAGGGAAAAAAGAGAAAACGCGAGCCTCTCAATAGCATGAGGAAAATTAAGAAATATTGGTTGCTGCTCAAGAATGCAGTGCACAAAGCCCGTTTGAAAAAAAAATTTGAAACATTATAGTCAGAAATTATACACTTACATAATATGTACCTTGCGGAGTTTGCTTATACTGCTCGCTTATGTGATTATTCACAGGCGAGTTGGTGTGAGCTTACAATATTTGGCACAGAAAAGACAAGGCGAGATTAATATTATATAATCGAACGTGTTCTGACTGATTCACAGCTGATCAATGTAGAGCCTAAACTATGATAGGTAAACTTAAAGTTTTCACAGTAACTTCGTACCATCATAGAAAGAATTTCACAGGTTTCACATATTAAAATGATCCTTGCACAATCATTATGAGATTCACAATGGCCGATGGAAATCGAAAATTTTACAAAAAATTGGTTACAATTTATAACAGAATAGTTGAACATTTTTAAGCTTTGATTATTGTTACATCAAATATTAAATAACAAATTGAACAAAGTTTGAATCATACAAGAGTTGGCATTTTGAACGGGCAACAAAGTGCACAGGGTCAGCTAGTAACTTATAATTTATAAATAATAAATAATAATTATGTTAGTGGTTTTTTTTTTATCTATAAAATCATAATAATATTTTTATCTTGTTTTAATAATTATTTATTACATGTAAAATCACTGAATTAAAATTTTTTTTTTGTAACCCCATTATTTACAACATGTTTTTTTAATGGACTTGTGTAAAACAATGTACATCATAATGACAAAAATTGCATTTTTTTCTGAAAATCATCATTCTCGTGGAGCTGATGCTGATCTAATAAGGTATAGGAGCAAAAAAATGATTTCTAAGTTTCTAACAAATAACCTTTTGAACAGATAATTTTTTGAATACATGAACTTTTTGGGAGATAGCAGAATATTTTTAAAGAAAATAATGAAGTAAATATGTTAGTTTTATTGAAATATTACTTTTGTACTACGCCCAATATCTGGTTTATCACTACCATATGTGATCATTGCTTCCTCATACGATAATCGAGGAAATGGTATTTTGATTTTACCCAATTCCGATGGCCAAACAAATGATAATAATTCTTCAATGAGTAACATAACTCCATCTTGGTTGGTAAATGACATTTCAATATCCAGCTGAAAGAATATGTTAATACATAAGTTTATAACTTATAACTAGGGCAGAGAACGTATAGCCCTACAACATACATTAAAAATATATTCTAGCTTAAGCTAATCAGCTAATAAGCTAATAAGCAAAATTCAAAATTTTTTAAATTAAATATTAAATAATAGCTTCTAAAATTATAGTTACGTTACATAAGAAACTGACAATACTCAAGTCGGTAAGAGTATACACTCAAATATTTAATCAACATGCAGCCATCACAACAGTTTGTGGAGGATTTTAAATAATCAAATGGTATAAGAACTGTTTATCCTTTGGTAAACTTTATTTAAATTTATCGAAAAGTGTATAAATAGCCTAACAAAATAAATACACTTCAAAAACAATACAAATTAATTATATAGGTAAACTAAATAAGTCTCAAAAGGCAAAAAATACGTTATATACAAAATATTGCAACATGAAATTATAGAGTTGGCTTAAGCAAAGAGTTAATGGAACAAATATATTTCTATCTGATCGTTAGTTTCTAAGACTGTGCAAAACAAATATGCAAATGCTAGAAGTATTCTGCCTTACTTATAAGTTATAATGCAAACAATATATAATTATTAATTTATTGACTTATGTTTACTTGGGTAAATTCTGGCTGTCTGTCAGATTTGGCACCTTCATCCCGGTAGCATTTTGCTACTTGAAAATATCTATCCATGGAACCGACCATCAACATTTGTTTTAATTGCTGAGGGCTTTGTACCAACGAATAACATTTTCCTTTTTCGTGAGTTGGTACAATGAACTCTTGTGCACCCTAAAAATAACAATTGACTTATTAAAATAAATGTAAGTAAATTACTTAAACAATAATTACACCATGAGTCTTTTTGAATAATGTAGGAGTTTCGACTTCAACAAACTCTCGGTGATAAATCAAAAACTCTCTCATTTTCATCAACAACTTTGATCTTAGGCGCAAATTATATTGCATCTCAGGATATCTCAAATCCACATAACGATATTTTAATCTTAAAGATTCATTTGCCTGCAATAAAAATTATATTTTTATTAAAAACAAATTTTAAGAGCCCGTCACTTCAGCATAATATATTATCTTTACTCTCTGTCTTACATATAGACAACATGGTCATTTGTGTTCAGTCATTTCAATATTGTGTGGTTAGCTTTATACTAGAGTGCATTGACCTATTACAAAACGTAAAAGTAAAATGTATGTTATCTGGTTGGTTTTTTATAATATTCTTAAGTGAGTCACAAACATTTACAAATACTCTTAACAGTCATACTATAGTCTGGCCAGCAAGAGAGCGCAACTAGGCGGTGACCAAAATACATCGTAGTTCACGCAAGACCAGTGGCGGCACCGTCCGCATGGTGGGATAAATTAGACCTCACGCTGTCAATTGGATGTATGACAAAGTTGCACTCTTTAGATAGACAAGCTGCAGGGTTGGTAATATATGTGTATAAAACGTTTTATACGTTACACGTATTATACCCCACGTATAAAACGTATAAAACTAATTAACGCCTAAGACATACTAAATTTCCTTAAATTTAGAATAAAATTAAAAACAATACAAATTTCTTTTTTTGAATTATAAGTTATGACAAAAATATATATAATTTTATTAATATAAAAAATTATCACAAATGTCTTTTTTGTTATTATAAAATAATAAATAATAAATATTAATATTAATGTAGTTTATTAATAATTAATATTTAATACAGAATAAAGATGAACTAAATGATACTTAGTAATTAATATAAAAATTGTCACAAATGTCTTTTTTGTTAAAATAATATAAATTATAAATATAAATTAATAAGTAATAACCGTGGTACAATTAATAATTATATCAGTTATAAGTTTATAACTTATAACCACACTGAAATATAAAATGATGATTAAGATATTCTTATCTTTATTCTTTACTGTATCTACATATCAGCTGTATTATCAATTGACAATTATTATTTATTATCATCCATTAATTATAACTTGAATAGGTACTTGATAATAGGTGTTCAATGCAGCAAAAAAAAAAAAAAAACTTTTATACAGTATAAAATGTATAAAACTAAGAAGTTTTATATTGTACGTTTTATACGCAAGTATAATACGTGTTTTATACTGTACTGTATTATACGTTCCAACCCTGAGACAAAGTATAGCTTAAAAATTAAAATATACTAAAAAACCATAAAGAGACCAGAAGATGTTCTTACCTTTGGGCTTTGATTAAAGTAATTGATTAGGTTAATTCACTCAAATATTCAAGCCAACAACACAATATTGGAACTGCTGAACAATAATATTGCTATGTTATGTATTAGTAAGACGAAGACAACACATGCGTAAATTATGTTCTATGAACTAAGATTGTAGTGTTTACCTTATTAAATTTCCGTAATTGAAATGGTAGTTTGGTGTCGACCGCATTAAGTAATAGTAGTTGATCAACTATTACTTCTATCATTCCTGTCGATTGATCCTATAGTGAAATACAAGATATATGTAAATACTTATTCAACTTTTTGATAAATATAACTCACTTTGTTTATTTCCTCAACAGGCCTTAATTTTACGCTACCATAACACATCAAAACTGATTCCAGAGGTATTTTTTTAATAAAATTATTTAATTCTGTGCCTAATTTAAATTATAGTAATTAATTGGTTGATAAAGTTACAGAAATAATTAAGAAAAAACAATAATAATACTTGCGTTTTCAGGAATAATGAGTTGTGTTGAACCATAGCCATCCCTTAAAATTATAAAGCGATTCAATCGTACATATTCTAACCATCCACAAAGAATAACCGATTTTCCACAGTCTTCATTTCTTAGTTGGTCACACGTGTGAGTACGAGAGGTATATAAATTAACATTTGAAAAGTCTATGGATAAAATTATAATGGTAAATATTAAATTACACTTCTCATCAAAATATTGAGACAATTTAAAGATGCTTTATAATCATAGACCTTATATTAATAGATGGAACATGGTGGTAGCTCCCACGGTGGACGTGGGTAACGCTGATTGTGTTGTTCCGTACTTCTGTACATATAAATAGTACAAAGATTATAACTATGTACAAAATTGTGCATAGTTAAAAATAAAAGCAGCATAAATATGTGTTTATCGTATTATATCATGATTCATGATTCATTTCTTTTATTACAAGTCACAAACAAATTTATATATTAATTATGATTAAATTTGTGTTGGGCCTTATTACTGACTTGTTGGGTTTTGGATTTCAAAGTTTTCATTATATTGACTTATAAATATAATATTTGCCATTAATGTCCCCGCCAGCCTTATATGCTCCATCTATAGTTAGTATAAGGTCTATGATTATAATAGTATACTGCTTACTGTGCAATCCAGACACATATTTATGTTCTTTTACAATTTCTTTAATGTCTACAGTTTTTGCGACTGTAAATTTGTACCGTTTTGTGAGTACATTTTTCTTTATGTTTGCTGATAATATTTTCAAGTCACTTGACATTAAACTCTGTAAAGTAATCATAAATTAATTAAACACATAGTTACTGTCTAAACTATACTCTATTTGAATTAAGAAACATACTCAGAGGCTGACTTTTACCTACTCAAGGGGGCGGGGGGCTGTTGGACGTGGAGTACAGAGGCCTGTGGATATGAATTTGTAATTTTTAAAATGTTGATAGGAATATTAATTTTACATTGAACAATATTTTATAGGGCTAACAAAAACATTTAGTAAAGAGGTCCTAAGTTTGATGTGGCGGACCTGCTCGGGGCTGGGGCTTCACTACATGGCGAGCATAATATAGATAGTAATCTCTGTAGACGGGGAAACAAAATAATATGGATGTTGTCTAACCGTCACAAGATGTAATCTGGTCACTGGCGAGTATGTTTCATATCATCCATAGAGTATACCATAAAGTACATAATACAATCATAACTTGCCTGGTTAATATATTTCTGCAGAAAGAGATTTGTTTTACATCCAATCAAGTATTTTGTGGGATACATATTTCTTGAATAATTAATACGATTTATTCTGTTACACAAGTTGCGTTAACACAAGGTTCTGTCTGTAAAACAAACATGAGTATAAAAGATTACAATTATTTTAACATTTTGTACATTCAGTACTGAAGTGACAAACCACAGATATAAAATACCATTTTGGACGATAGGGATTGTACTGTAAACATTAAGTCGATTTTCTGATGACAATGAAAGGCGAACTTTGCAAAAAAAAAATATACATGATGTTTTGATAGAACATTTGCGGGTTTTATACATTTATCATTTTGCAATGTGAAGTGTTTTTGATAACATAATCTCAAATTATTATTCGTTATCAACGAAGATAACGTGGGGGCATAGACATCATGATTAATGTTTATTGTGTTGTATGATCGTTGGAGGTGGGACTAATATTATTCTGTGATACAAATCAATGTTATACCCAATATTATTGTTCTTTATTTAGCAAGCATGGGCATAAAAGAGTTAAAAAGTTAAAGTTAATTTAACTTTTTAAAATTTAATATTCATTAACTTAATAAATAACGAGTCACTTTTAATCAAATCCATGTTATTCGCTCGCATTAGATATTCAACCTAACATCTTTACCTATAAATAAAATGTTCCATGCGAAAACGTATTTTTGGTGTGGGGGGGGGGGGGGCTGAGGAAACGGCATTTGAGGAAAATATTTTCTTCGGTTATAAAGGATTTTTGAAAAATTTCGCGTAAGGTCATACAAATTTCGTATTAAATATTTGAATAGAAGTTTCACATAAATAAGAAATGTTGGAAATGGGGGGGGGGGGTCTAGAAACTTTTCTATAGCCCCCTACACAAATTCTCGTATAACTTCGAAAAAAAATTTGTAAAAATTGAGGGTCTTATCGTACAATTTTGTACAAATTTGTAAAAAAAAATTGCAAAAACACAATATGGTGGGGGAAAGGGTCTGGGAAACATACGATGAGGATATTTCGGTCTTAGGTCTTTAAAATTGTAAATACTATGTTAAAGATCCTTTAGCAAATTCTTGACTTGTCGTGGTATTATTATATTGTTAAAAGTAACAGTTAATAATAATAATTTATATAAAAAATGAATAGTTTTAAATTTAAACTATTCCTATTAGGTGAATAATTTATTCTGAAAAAAATCAATGTTTAGACCCGAGTGGGCTCCCGACCTAAACATAGATGGGGGCCCACAGGAAAAATCCCTGTGATGTCGCCTAAGAACCATCATGGCCAATCTCAAAAAATTCAAATATGCGTTTTATATATATCATTAGATTCGTATTTTCGAGACGCTGGAGACCAAGTGATAAGTTTTGATGATTTTAAATTTTGTTCTGTTCTTTTTCCATGAACTTCACTTTTGCTCTTCCAAAATTCACTTCATTAAATTTCCTATAAGTGTAAATAAGAATACTAGGTATACGAACCGTAGGTACCTGTACCTACTCATATAGTGTTATAGTGTTCCGTAGAAACTAACAAATGTAAGTACCTATTGTATAATTTCTTAAATTCAAGTTCATATTTTTCCGGGTGTTAACCATTTAAACTTAAGAGTGAAGTTTAATGTTTATTAAATCTTAACTTATAGCTTTCTATATTTTGACTTGACTTAACTTAACTAACTAAAGTTAATTTTTGCCTACATTTGCAGAATGGGAGTATAGGAGTATATTTCACATAAAAACTTATTTTCAAAATTATGATATACCTACTGTAATATTAACACTTAATTTAAATATGAATAATGTACGGTACCTAGTACATATAACATATAGCACTAATGTCATAATGGTAATATAGTTGTACTTGTACAGCTAAACAGCTAAACAGCTTCATATTATATATATGTCACAATTAAAAAATAGATAAACATTATTGAAATTAATATTTATCGGCCCGGTAGATGGTAAAAATCGTGCATGAACGTTAAAAAAATATCGGAGTACGGTACAATATTTTTTATCGTAAAGGCGATTTATCACAACAATGTGCGCATCTACGTCATGCAATTACATTCGTTTAGTTTTAAACTTTACCTCACAAACATTATCGGCTCGCCTACCGTTCACCGATCCGATAATATCGTATCAACGTGGTTTGTCTCATACAAAACTATGAACTCAATTTTATCGTTACCGTTAACGTACCGTCTACCGCGCAGGGTTGTTATGTTTAAAACACAATGTTTTAAGCAACTTGTTATAAACATGTTTAAGACATGAATTTAAAACATTTGTTTTAAACGTTTTTTAGTGGTTTAAAACTAAAAAAAAGTGGGTAAGTGGATGTCCCTCTGCTGTACAGTAGGTTACAAGTCAATGTATGATGGATGATATTAAATTTGAATTCAACGATATAATATCATTGTATAAGAAAAACGATTCTGAGCGGAGACGGTATGTCAGTTTAGGTGTAAGACATATTATATACATATCTATTGTATTAAAAAAACAATTGACCTATAATAGGTACCTATAATAAATTCCAAATTAATCATATCACAATATCCATTAGGTACTTATAACGCGTTATACATCAACAACAAACCCTGATACTATCATAGATATATAGTAGTATACGTCTTTAGAAGTTTCAAGTACCCACGAATAATATTATTCAATCACAACAAAATAACTAAAATAGTTATTCTAGGTTTTTTATTATGTAATTTCGTCCAAATTTGAATTTAAAATGTATGTAAAAAAATAACTGTGTTCATATATTTTTTAGATTTTTTGGTTACAGTATGAACTATTTATGAAAACCTTTGTTTTAAATTGCAATCCTTAGCTATAAAAACTGAACATTTTATTATTTATTCAATTTTAAATTTGATAAATTTTGTCAAAATTCGATCTTTAAATGGTTATAAAAAAAAACTGTGCATATATATTTTTAATATTTTTCAACTGCTATTGTAACAATATATCAGGAGCCTTGTATTAAATTTTTACACCTTTATTGATATTTATAGAAAAAAAAAATAAATTTAAAACTGAAAATGTCCGTAAACAGCACAAAAAGAGTCAAAATATTTTCAAATTGTATGATATATAGGAAATGCTAATATAAAAATGCAGTGAAATTTTCATGTATCTACAGTTATTCGTTTTCGAGTTACAACAAAATAAGGAAATCGCTACATGAGAAATCGAGTGAATATCCAATGTTGTAAAAATTTGAATTTTAAAAGCTTATAAAAATTTAATTTGACTTTCTTATAGACATTTTTTTTTAAAGGTAGGTGATTTTATAAGGCATCTTGTATTACAATCTTAGATTTAAAAAGAAAAATTTTTACAAATTCTTAATTCAAAATAATTTGCTAATTTTCGAGATTTTTCCATATTTTGTAAATTTTTGAACTTTAAATGCTTATAAAAAAAAATTGTGACTAAGGATTTTTAATATTTTTCATCTGCCTTTGAAACAATATACTAGGAGCCTTCTATTAAATTTTCAAGCTTTCGCAACCAACAAATAAAATTTTATTGATATTTCTAGAAAAAAAACTAAAAAAAATAGAAAATGAAAATGTCCCTAAACTGTTCAAAATAAATCAAAATATTTTGAAAATGTTTTCATGTATAGAAAATGCAAATATAAACAAATAGTGAATTTTTCATGTATTTACGGTAATTTTATTTAAAGTTACAGCAAAAACCAAATTCGATTTTGCGTAAAAATTCTCGTTTTTCCTTAAGTTTTCTTTGGTTTTTTTTGGTGCTTTTGAAAATTACTGGGAATTTTAAATTTTGGCCTCCCCAATGCACCAACGATATTCACTTTCGAATCGAACAAGATACTGAAGTTGATAATCGAAGCATTATTTCGACTACTTATCGTGTACACAGACACAAAAAAAAAAAAAATAAAAAAAAAAAAATATAAAAACACACATCATTGTAAAATCAATACATTCATCGTTCCACTCAGAATCTAAAACATATTTTTAAAACAGTGTAAAATCCAAGTGAATATTGTGGGTATTTTTTAAATAATTGTATTTTTTTTTTGATTTATTATTAATAAAGAATAATAAATATCTTTCAGAAAAAAATAAATAACTTTATCTATTATTGTTTATCTTCCTTCATTTTTGTAACACATATAATATCATAAATTCATTAAACAGACATAAGTAAAGTAAAATATGCAGTGATGAATTTAGACATTTTGCGCCCCGGTGCAAAAAAAAATTGGTCCAATTTAAGGGGCCTAAACACGGAAAATATGGGAGATAGATCCTCATTAAACTTTTAGATTTTGAGACCAGAAAAGAATACGTGTTATACAATGTGTGATTTTTTTGAAAATATTGTTTATAGTACTTAATTGTTTGATCCTCTCTCCGCAAAAATATATTTGAATTTATGTCACTCAAACCATGCTTATAATTCATCATAAAGTTGTTTTTTTTAATATATTTAAGTAGGTACTTCATGAATAAATAAAATAAAATTATATAAAACTATGCAAACAAAAAAAATTCAAACGGCATGATACTATATATATAATCCCACCAAAAACATATATGTAAAATGAGAGCCAAGTTCAATACTATAATATTGAACTTGGTTGTTGACTTAATCGACAAAAGAAGTGAGATCTAAATGGGTGCCAAGTTAGGATAATATATTGAAGCCTAAGGTGTGACTTGGCTACTTTTCATATACGAATTATTATTATAAGTACCTACTAAAACAGTAATGGAAGAGTGAAGATGATTTTCCGAAGAATAAAATAAGAACTCAAAGCTTTAGAACTTGCAAATGCTATAATATATAATTCGTAGCCAAGTCAGACCTTAGGCTTCAATATATTATCCTAACTTGGCACCCATTTAGATCTCACTTATTTTGTCGTTGAAGTCAACAACCAAGTTCAATATTATAGTATTGAACTTGGCTCTCATTTTACATATATGTTTTTGGTGGGATATCATTACTTTTTGTATGTAAATTATTATAACCTAATCT